GCAAAGACTGATATCTAGGCAAAGACAACTTGTGTGAATGTTGTTCTTGGGACCTGAATTATCTATGCCTTGCTAAGTTTTACAATCTTGGTTTTGAATGAAGCAAGCTGATCTCTGGGGTGACTGAACTCGGCACCACACTCACTCCCAGTACAAAAGAGCCACCCGTGAGAGATTAAGAGCAGAGACTGCAGTGTTATTTGGGTTTTGACGTCAGCTAGAATGGCAGCAAGGACTAGCAGGCCTCTTCTGGTTTAAGAAGCATCAGGTGAGTCATGTTGCATTGCAGTATATAAGAGGGTCTTATGACCCTAAATTCTTATCTGTATCATCACAAACAGTGCACAGGAATGTGACAGTTTGGATCAAGGGATTATAGGCTTGCCTCAATTAATGAAATATCTGTGTGCCTGTAAAGGTAGCCAACCACCCAATACAATTCTTTAGTGCCTTTCCAGTAACAGTAAAGATGTGTTGTTCTGACAGATATTTCAGCCCAAGATGCTGCAAAATCTCAAAAATTCAAAACTAACACCGATGATCTTATTTGAAAGGAAAAATGTCAAATGTCTTAGAAAAAAAAAAAAAAAGGTAGGCAAGACATTTAAAGTTTCGAGTGTCTTTCACAAGCAGAATTGAGTTAGATGTTCTTTACTACTTACCACAGAGCACTGCTGGGAGGATTCAGCAACACTTCATCAGTTGTAGCATACTGTATGAGAATTCTCTTTACCCTTCTGGTCAATCTGGGAGTGTTACTTTGAGAAAAAAAAAAAAAGGAGGTGTGGGGGAACTCTCCTCTCAACTACCATGGAGGGAGGCTCATTAACAGTGTTAGTGCAGAGTATCACAGTCCTTCTCAGAACACCTTTCATTCTTAGCTATCTATGGTCTTATCTTTCAGGACAATGTTTGGGGTGGGGGTTGTTCACACTGTGGTATGCATGCTAATTAACTAGGCACTCCCAGGTTCTTGAGAGTAGTAGAAAGAGCATAAAGCCCACCAGCATTTTGTAATTGCCGTCCTTGAGCAAAGCAATAGAAAATTCCTAAACCACAGACTTACTATCTGGAAATTGAAACTAACACTCGCATGGCTGTGGCAGGGGGCAGTGAGACATTATCCGAGAGAGGCCAGGAAAAATCCTCTTATGATACCAGCAGCAGCCCACCCCCAGTACCTCCCTTTGCAGGATGTGTGTGTTGTGTGTGTGTGTGTGTGTGTTTGTTCTGGCTGTTTCTCCCCCCCCCCTCACATTCTTGCTAAGTATAGTGACCCCAAGCAGATAAAGGTTTGTTTGCATTCGTATATTTTATTGACTTGAGGTAACCTATTGGGTGATTTTTAGCTTCTACTTGTTCAAACTAGCTTCCAGGGCTGCCTACCTGATTTTTAAGTAAACAACAGGTAAGTTTCTCCCAAAGAGGGACCAACTTTAAAAAGAAAGAAACTACAGGAACTTTGCCTTTCATATCCCATGTTTGGATATTTGTAGAAGTTCAGAGTTGTTGATATTGATGATGTGTTTAGAATTTAAGAAACTATCACTTACTTTCTAACCCTTCTCCCGACTATATATAATTCACATCAACATTTGTCAGCTCCCAACTTGGTAATACACATATCTCATCCATATGTTCCTTACACACAAACTCTGAATTCAAACATTGCGACCTTCTCTGATGCTAAAAACCCAAGTATTGCTCACTTAAGTCTTCTGGAGAAAGTGACTGTAGCTCTGGTTTAAAAATTGTAAAGTGACTGCCTGGGAACCAACACTAGCCTGTATAGTTTTCTTTGGCTTTCACAAGTTTTTTGTTTAATCAAATAGTAGCTAAAGTTTCAGAATTGCAAAACTTCACAAATATTTTAGCCTGGAGTGCTAAGTTGTCTTGAAAAATGGGATAAGCTGGTAAAGCCTGTCAGCATTCAGTCATAACAGTCACCAAGAATTTAGTATCAGCTAGACATGGCTGTCTGCTTCCCATTGTGGACTCTTTTGTTACAAATCAGTCTTCCATGGGCATTGAGTAGACAGTCTTTTACTTAAAGTTTGTACATTCATAGTGACCAGTTTAATATCACAGGATAGGGAGGAGATAATTGGGATTAACTGGCGTACCTGATGCCAGGGCATCTGGATGAATAGATGAAACTCCCATTTGAACAAGAAAGTGAACATGGAGAGCAATGAACACAATGATCACAAGGTTCTTTTAAATAATTCTCTGAGTTCACAGAACTTGGTGTTTGTCTACATGAATTGTATTCCTCGTTCTCTGCTCCTATCTCCCATATCTTTGAGACAGGGGATTGCCTGCAATTTTTTTTAAATGTCAAAAAAATGAGAGAGAAAAAAAAAATCTAGAGGAAGGTGGAGTCCATAGTGGGCTCTCAAAAAATAGGAATGAAGTACTCCCAGTGATGAATGTACCATCAAATCTCTTTTCTTTTCTTGACTGTAACAAATGGTATATGCATGGGATGAAAACTGAAATTCTGACAATTTGTCGCTGATGTCCTCCGAATGGTGAATAGATTGATGAATGAATGAATAAAAGAATTTTCTGTCTCCTTAGATGGATAACAGATACATTAGTTAGCAAGGCACAAGTAAGGGGGAAAATGAGAATGTTTCTGATATACCATTAAAGGGGATTAAAGAGTAATCCATAAGGACTGATGGAATAAAGTAGTTTGTGAGTAGAGAGTGTATTCTACTTATTCAGTAATTATTTAAATAATCTGGGTCTGGAACTTTTATGGAAGAACCAGAGGGCCAGGGTTCTTGGAAACTTCTGGAGGAACAAATTGCCCTCCTCATTTCCATTATCACCTTACCCCATTGTCCTATCCCCAGTGGGACAAGAGGAGGCAAGAGCTGGGTATGGAAGAAGAAAGCAGTTAATTTAAGAGAGGCTTTAAACTGAAATTGGAGGGAAGGGGAAAATATCCAACTAAAACCTGCAAAAGCAGTTATTACAAGTGACACCAGATATGACAAAATAAGAAAACTGAAGAAGCAATTGAGAAAAATTGAAGAAGCAGGTAGACTAGTTTGGGGAAAGAGTAAAAATATGGGTATGGCTTCAGTTATACAAGTTGGAACACTTAAAATTTTAAACTTAAGTCTTTGGCAGAAAGGGGTAAAGATGGCTGCCTGGGTATGATGAAGACTTAGTATAAGAATATATGGCATACTGGTGAGAGGGTTAAAAAAGGGAAAACTAAATTCCATCATTGAGAGTGTAAACCATAGGTCACCTGATCCGAAAAAGGAAAGGAGTGATGCAAATATAATGTTTAGACAATAGGTGTTTTCTCACTGATGACTCAATTTCAACTTTTTAAATATAATTTCTCACTATTTAAAGGTTATATCTCACTTTTCCCCTTTCCATGAGATCTTATTCTCTTTGTCTTGACTCTTCATTCATTCACAAGCATCTCAAAGGTGGTAGAACAGCCCTGAAATTTCCATAATTTATTGAGGGCTCAGACCAACTGTGATTGCTCTTGAGCTGACTTTTCAATTGACATAGAGAGGTTCTGTCCATTGGCTGGAGAACTGAACAAAGGTGTGTATATGTTGGAGGGAATGAGAGAGGCAAAGAATTGTTCAAACTGAATTGTTCATGCTGGAGTCATGCACCCCATTTAAGGGAGCAACTGCTACTAAATCCTAGCATGTTACCATGACAGAATATAGGTCCACTGTTACCAGTATTCTTTTTTAAAATTTTTTATAAAGATTTATTTATTTATTCATACAGAACTGGGGGACAGGCCAGAGATGCGGAGGGTGAGAGGATTCACCAGGAACAGAGAGAGTGGGGAGCAGAACAGGCAGATTGACTAAGTACACTGCTAAGGGGAGCAGCGGGCGGGTCAGGAGAGGTCTGCTGTGCCATGTGGATCTCCTCCAGGGCAGGCAGGGATCTAACTCATGCAGAATCGGCTTAAGCTTCTTAGTGCTATGCTTTAACCCACTGCTCTACCAGGGAGGGCCCTGTTACCAGTATTCTTATTTTAATAATAATCCAACAGGAAACTTACATTTATATGAAATCTGCCTTTTATTTATTATTAATTAATTAAAAACTGAAAAACACTAAACAGGCAAAACATACTTCTTCCACAAACACATCCAACTGTGAATTCTAATGTAAATGGTGGATGGAATTCATGGTAAAGTCTTGATTTGGTCAAGTCACTCCCTTGACTGGCATTCTATCAAGAAGAATGGGTTTGGTTTCATCTTGGTGGGCATAAATATTTCTCCTAATGGTCTTGCATGTTGGTTTGTATACTATAAATATAATTAATAATTTCCTTAAATGGCAACAATAAGTAGATGCTATGATTAGTTCAAGTCAATCTATTCAGCAAGTAACTGAAAAATCAGACTCAGGATTCAGACTGTGAGATATCTAAAGAAAAGGATCAGAAGATAGTTCATTTTTGATACACTTTTGTTTTCTTACCAGATCATATATCATGTTAACACTCAGAATTTGGTTCTAAAAGTGTTGGGAAGCAGTTGGAGGCTGTGGACAGGGGAAGGACCTAATCCAACTTAATATTCTAAAGGGAACACTCCCAAAATATTTAAAGGAAGTCTCTGTCTAGAGCTATAATCTGGAGACTTTCAGAAAATCTGATTTTACTGAGTTCAGTCTCTTCTCCTGTCTTTTCCCGTATTTTCCTAGGAATGCTGTTCTTATATTTCTGTATTCATGTCACTCCTTACCACAACGGAATGTCCTCTGTTCTTGAGTGATGTAGCCTAAGAAACTTAGAGCATATACTGAATGTGCTAACCAAGGGCAAAGCATGCCTTTTCTGACTGAACTAACTTCCTTGTGTTCTTGCCCTGATCTGGCCCTTTCTCAGTGACAAAGCTAGCACCTTCCACATATCTGATCATATCAACTGAGAGAAAACTGATGTGATCCTACAAATTGATCTAATTGCTCAAGGTTATGCTTTTGTTTTTCAGAAAATACTGAAGGAAGGACCTTTGCTAAAGAACTGTAACTCTTTCCAGAGGTGGAAGCTTAGATACTTTCTAGTTCGAGGACAAAGACTTTGCTTTGCACATCATCCTGCGGTAAGAGAATATATATGTCAATCAATAGATAAACAGAGGAAGAGAGAGAGAGAGAATCTTGTCAAGTGAATTACTGGGTAGTAGGTGGGTGCCAGGAAGTCTTTATGTGGGGAAATTGGCCAATAAAGTTAGCAAACATTAAGGTGAAAGTTGAAACCTTCCACTTTTCCTTTAACTTGTCTTTTATGGTCAAAACAGGGACATTTTTCTCACCCTTTCCTTGATTCACTTCCCTTTTATAGACACCTTGATTAGCTTCTCTACCCAGAACCAACTGTGTAACTTGCAGGGTCCAATTTAAATGAAAATGCAGGGCTCCTTATTCAGAAATCAGGGGAAAGTGTCATAAAAGATACTAAAATATAAAGTCATGGCTTCAATATAGCTGTTATTTTCTGTCTAATATAATCCTACAAATAAAGAAAAAATAAAATTTTAAACTATTAATGATTTTACCATTCATCTGTGTATTATCCAATATCAGTTTTGAAAGCACATAGAAGAGCATTTAATGCATTTGAATAACCACCAAAAGTATAGAATTCATATTTCGCAGCTCATACATACATATATATTATGTTCACTGCAATACACAAAATTGGTTCAGCTCATTTTACCCTGATACGTAACACATTCTGCCAGGTTGCCCTATCTTTCTCTTTCCCTCATTGTCATCATTTTCAGCATAAAGTCATTGATTAATACTGGGAAGTCACATGAGTATGAAGGAACATAGTAGAGATTCATGGCTATTCGTGTTTCTTGGAATCCCATTTCCTTTTTTCTGTGTCTGAAGCCAGTTCTGGCTCCAAAAGAAAGTGTGTCTCTCAGGGCTCTTAGTTCCCCTGCTGAGCCCCTCATAGTTGTGAAGCGCAGGCCTTGCGCTTGCTTTGTTACTCCTGAATTCCCACACATCCTGGGTCCCCTGAAGTTCCATTCTCATGAGTGTCAGGAATTTTGCATTCATAGAGAGACAGGATACTGCATGGACATGAGCGTTGTGCATATCTCCTCCCATCATATGTGTGATCCATCACCGCACTTAACTGCATTTACAAAACATGTGTTCAAAGATAAAGTGACTAAGAGTTTTGAGAGTGGACTAGCAAAACTTTAAGGCAAGTGCAGGGCCCCTCTGAACTTGAGACCCTATAAGACTTGCACAAGTTTCATAGCAGTGAGGCCACCCTGTTGGTGTCCATAGTGCTAATTCCCGTCTGCTGGGTGTTACATAGAGTTTAGGGAGACATGGGGCTCAAACTAGATGGGGAAACAAAGTCAAAGGCTGTTGATAGACTGGGTGTTAGTAACACCTATCTGCTCCACTTCACCCCTAGCTAGACCAGATTACATTATCTTCTTCACTATAAACTTTTATTTGTGAATAATTTTGAACTACCTAAGCCTCCCTTCAAGCCCACATAAAAAAAGTTTTACAAAGAGTTGTGATTTGGTTTAATTTGGTTTGAATTTTGTTGGTCACATGAGAGAGCAACAAAACAATAATACTGAATAAATTCCAGGACTCCAGTCAAAAAGATAGCTGGCTTATGGCTGCCAAAATGCCTGAGTGTATGTGTGTGGGTACATGTGTGTGCACATACGTGTGTATGTTTACCCTTTAGTACCGCTTAACCTCATTAATCAGATGGTTCCTCTTCCCCCTCTCTCTTATGTCTTTCCAGTTTGCACGCTTTGAAACAGTTGATCTGTCTCAGGTCGCTTTGGCAGAAAGCAGCTGCAGAAACCTTTGCCACGGTTTTTGTGTAAGTAAGATTGAGAGTGACTGATGGGGAGGGGTAGGCGTAGGTGCTAGCTAGGAAGGGAGGTGGCCATATGCACTTACTGCAACCTTGGAGTCAGATTTCCTCAGTCTCACTTGATCCCAAAGTATGTATGGAAATCCATTTAAAGTGGCACTACAAATGAGTGCTGAAGATTACTCCTGAAACCACTTTCTACCAGCCACTGAGGGGGTAGGAAGGAAGCAATGGTCCTGCTCCCTATTGCCAACTGAGCTGATTTCAATGGAGGGAGTAGTGACAAATATGAAAATCAATCCTGGAGAAGGTAATTTAGAGGAGTATCATTGGGAGAATCATTCAAGAGACTGGCAGTATGTAGTAGAAAATATCAGGGTATTTAAACTGCAAGATATTCTCCCTTTGATGCGGTAGATAAGAACCAAAGTTCAAAGTGAAAAGCTTCCCTATGCTGAGATTACTGATGAGTGTGCCTCAAAGACTTTTCTAGGGAAGTATTCAAGAGCTTGGCACTGCTGAAATTCCATAAGGGTTTGGTCATTCAAGTGAATCCAGAGCAGAAAGCTCACTGAAAATTAGCAAGCACTTTTACCAAGGAAATCTACCCACTTCTTCCCCCAACTGTTCTCCCAGTCTCCATGGTGGGGTATAGAGACTGGAGTTCCCCTTCAGGAAAGTGAAGGGTGGCAATTAGCAGAGTAAAGAGCCACAGGCCCAATACCCTGCTACCATTGCTGTTCCAAATTCCATTTTCTTAAAAGCTGGATTTCTCTCATTATATCTCCCTGATCCAGTGTGAAGCCGAAAATTCTATTGATCCAATCCCAAAATGCTTAACCTTTGGATGATGAGCAGACAGGCTAATGTTGGTTCTCCATTCTCCAAAGAAATCTCCAGGGTTAGGTTGCCCGTTGGCCTAATTAAAACACTGATGAACAAAGGCAGTATGCATTAGTGCCACATGAGAAGGGGTTTGGACCAAAGGAGTGCTGTCATCACAATTCCCACTCATTCCTATTCCTATTTATCACAGAATCATGCTGTGTTACATGCAAAAGGAGGATTAAATTGCTTATTGGTGTGGTGAGCTCTAGCGCCAAGATTTGCGTGAAGGTGACAGCCTTCATGCAAAGGCATAGAGGGCCAGTGCAGTAATGACTAATGCTGTCACTATCTCTGCTGCCTCCTGCCCTGTTGGGAAAGACCAGGTCCTCACCGTGGCCTGCCTCTGCTAGACCTTCAGCATCGCTTTTTCATTACTTCAGTCCAGGTTCTTGCATCAAGTGGCATTCAAAGGAATGACATTAAAATTCCCTTGTGGTTGTCTCTGCCCGTTAGAAAGAAAGAAGCTGGATTCTTGGTTTCTTCACTCCAGTCTCACTCCCTCCAAACAGGAAGTAGTACACCCTGATGAAACACCCTTTTACTCTTTTCCTATAGACAGACAGCAGTAACTAAAGCGGGTTTTTAGGCAATCTCCCTTGAGTAAGATAGGTGCATGGCTTAGTGTTTAAAAGCATGTCTTCTGGAACCAAAGAATCTAGATTTTAATTCTGGCATGGATTTTTTTTCCCCACTGAATGGCCCTAGGCAGGTCATTTAACTCCCTTTCACTTGCTTTTCCTGTGAAATGGGAGAGAAAAATCCCCATCTCATGAGGTGGTAATGAATACTGAAGTGATGTACATAAAGTGCGACGGAACAGTGGATAGAGAATTTCTCACTGCACTTACAAATAATATTTATTTTAAAAATCATTTTCATTATTATCATTACCATTATTTTGGGTGGTCATCTAGAGAACTGTGATGAGTTTGGAACTTCTGTCTCATATTTAAGAAGTGGCTTGGGGTGTTCTTGGTAAACCTGTCTAGTTCCTCAGAGGGTTCACAGGCTCTATTTGTGGCCAAGGTTGTGCAGTAGAGCTCATGTAATAATGTGACTTTTTGTTTAGGTGATCACACCACAACGAAAAGTTACCCTGGCTGCACCAAACCGGAAAGATATGGAAGAATGGATTAATGTCATAAAAACCGTCCAACAGGGAGAAATCCGTAAGGTAAGGGAAATAGCTCTCAGGGGTAAATGCCTAAGTGATTGTATTAGTTAAGCTACCATTCAAAGAGGGAAATAATAAGATGAAAGCAGAGACTTTGGCCAGGAATTAGATGGGTACCATTCAGAAGCCTGTTTAGAAATATTCCTAAGTAGGAGTAACTGCAGATTTGGTAAGTATGTGGTTCTGATATAAATGTACCCACATTGGTATGTAGCTGTCACAATGTGCCCAGTGGATGAGGTGCCTAGAATATATGTGAGCAACTAAGTTAGATGTTCTCATTTAGAAAAGTTGCAGTTAACAGTCTCGCTGTGGGTCTGCTGAATCACTCCAGTAGCTGTTAAGGAAACTGAGATTTTTAATAGAGAAGGAATCAGACTGAAACAACTACTCAGTAGCAAAGTCAGGATTTGGACTTAGGCTGTGTGCAATTCTGCCTCGTTTATTGTACACCACAAAAGAAATGAAGAGGCAAGAACAAGGAGCAGTCCTCTTCAGTTCTTAGTGGTTCTTTTCTCCTTGATAATACCAAACACCTGGTCACTGCTACCTGAAGCAAGGTGTACCACCACTGAGACTCAGGATCACATCCTCAGCCTACTCTTCTATAGCTCTGTACCACAGTTAGACGTTATGTAGGTTTCAAGGTGGGGCATAAGGAAGGATTGTGTCATTTATTTACTCAGAGCACTGCCTCACACATAATTGAGGTGCCATAGTTGTTTGCTGAGCAAGTAAATTAATCTGAGGGTACCTTTGGAGCCAGGGTGAAAAGAATGATAGATGGTCACCCCAAAGCAAAGTTCTACTATGAAGACCTTGGTGATAAGAGAAGATAAATCTGTCCTATCCTGATACCTTAAATAACTAGCAAAGGGTGGAGGATTGTTATAGGCATTGGGGGGTGGAACAGTGTAAAGGTGACTTAGGAATAATGGGTTGGGAAAGACAAACAATGTTATTGAGGAAAAATAAATCTGTCTTCATTCCCATAAGACTTCTCAGGCTTTTGACCATTTACTCTATAGATTTTGCTGGTCATGGCTATTAAATGATAAGTTGACTAGGTAGCTCTCCACTGAGCATTGAGGCCTTTTCACACTGTAGATGCTTTATTAAGGGATTCTTTGCTTCGAATCTGAAGATGGTCTTTATCTGACTTATTACTCCACACATCACTCCTTTCTTATTTTCTTCTTCCTTTTCTGATGGAGAAGCACATCCCTTTGTTCCTTCCCCCAGTAAGGCCATAGGTCAGAGCACTAGAGGTCGCACAAAATGGGATTTCCATGCTGCTTCTCTCCCATTCTTTCCCCTGCAGACCAATTCCTGTCCTTCCCTTAGCTTATCTCTATCCAAATTGGAACACTTCTTATTAAAGATCCAATTCATAAGAATCTATCTAGTTGACATGTGGTTGTTTATCTGTTTTTGGGAGTGGGGAATGGAATGAGTATGTTTGCCTCTTAGTCTATCATCTTGCTGATGTCACCATGAAATACTAATTTTTAAAAATCAATGTTTAAGTTGTTCATAAAATGTCACATAAGATATTTTGAATTTTAGCTACCAGGCCAGGAATACCAAACTACCAGAGAAAGTAATCAAAGAACTGATGTGCTATTCCTGACTCAATTGAATTACCTAGGCGTTAACTACCTGTTTACTCTATTGGAAGAGTGGAGCTACTCTAGGTAAATAGATTTAAGTAAACCTATTAAGGAACATTTTAGCAAACAGAGAAAGTTCTCACCATAAAAAACTTGGTAATCTTGCTTGAGGCTTAAAGTCAAACATATTCTTTTCTTTTCTTGTGTACCTTATCTCTAATAGGCTCCACTATTCTCTGTCACCACCACTGCCTAACAGTTAGGGTAAGGGGAGACTAATCTTGGTGTTAGTGGTCTAGTAAAGTCATTACAAAGTAATTGGATAAGCTGTTGGAAACTAGTCAGTACATATTAAAGAGCGAGTTCCTAGTAGGTGTCCCGTTTTGTTCCAAAGAAAGTTGAACAGCTGGCCTCAATGAACTTTGTAGGTTGTTAGGGAGACAAGCTATACATAAAAGAGAAAGTTAAGTGACAGTACTTGAGATAAATAACAGTTTTCAATGATGTTACAGGGTAATGCATGATTGATTGCTTGATGAATGAAATAGACAGTAAAGTGGAATGGGAGTTTAAGGGAAGAAGAGATAAATATGAACTGTTGTCCTCTGGGAGGAGTTAATAGAGGAGAAATTTGATACTGACCTTGAAAGATGAATAAGATTTTATTGATGGCAAGGGATTAGGGCAGTGGGAACTCCTGTTTGGAGAAATTGGTATAAGCAAATATGAATAACAGAAAAATAGAACATTTTTTTGTAATGGACTGAGAGGCAGACCACATTTAACCAGAAGATTTGGGAAAACGCATTTAAGAAATATCTGGAGAAATAGGTTGGGCCTGATTTTGGAGGATCATCAATGTTAATATATTGTGGAAGAATTGCAATATAATCAAAGTTCACTTTAAAGATAAATTGGAAAATGAAAAAAGTTGATTAAAGGATACTTTAGAAATAAAGGCTATTAGACAAGGAAAAAACTGGGGGCCAGAAGATCTTAGAGGAGGTCATAGATTAACTCAGACAAGACAAAGTTAAGCCCTAAATGAGGATAGAAAGGGAAAACAAATGATAGTTGTAGGTGGTGGAGAATCCAAATATATGAAAAATGCAAAGGAGATAGAAGAGTCACAGGCAGGTGAATGGTGTGAGCCTAGGGCACCTAAAAAATAACAAGAAAACTGGAAATAAGGAAATTTTGCTACAAGGCTAGGTTAAAAGGTTACCTCTTATGTGCAGCCATTGACTATGGAAACAGAAATGGACCTTAAATGTCATCTAGAATCAAAATTCTAGAATAAAGCATCTTTAGATCAAACCACATTGCCTTTATTTAAATGCTTCCAAAGATGGGGAACTAAGTTCTTGCAAAAGACTATTCAATATTCCTAAAACTCTAAATTTTAGAATTTTTTTCTTAATCTTTGGTTTAGCAGAGATTAAGCTAATATTCAGCTTGAGTTACAGGAATGGTATCAGCTACATATTGAATTAGAAAGCTCACTGTCATTCAAAGTATTCATTACAAACTACTTAAACAACTGTTTCTCAGGATGTAGTATAAAAAATAATTATTCATAGTGACACCCGCAAGATGGTAGGCTAGGATTTTTAAACTCACCCCCCACAAAAAAAAATAACCATTGAACAACTATATGCCCACTAAAATAGCTGTGAACAAGCTCTAGAATACAATAAACTGCAGAAACTATGGAACACTGAGACAGAATCATTACATAGAAAAGCGTAGTAAGCAGATAACTTATGCCTCCCGTGTACCCTCTACAACCCCCCAGTCTGGTAGAACTTGGGACCAAGAGAAATTCCCTGGGCCTAACCTACCCCCCCACACACACACACACAATGGGGTTAGGCAGAGCAGGAAGATTCTAGCAACTCTTATCAGTGCTGTGGACATATACAACTTTCACACATAGGTTCCTTACAGTCTTCACTGATGCTGAATCTAGCTGACAGAGCTTCTCAGAGTCTATGCCACTGCATCGTTACCCTACTCCAGAAAGAACCATTACATAACTCCCTGGGGGAAGCTACCAACGCTGTGCCCACTGGGGAGGTACCACTGCATATCCCACTTCCAAAGTTGCTGCCATTACATCAATCCTGCACCTTCCTGACAGAGCCACAGCACACCCTGCCCCCACAGCCATTTGCACACCATGGACCACAGTTTCATGGCTCAGCACACATCCATGCCAGAGATGCCACTATAATGAATATCTCCACACCCCAGTTTCAGGTACCACAGTTGTTCTGGGTACCCCTAACCTTGGAGGGCCCCAGTTCCACGCCTACATTGCAGTTACCTACACCCCTGACTCCAACACTTTTGAAACTGAAAATGTATTTTTACCCCGATCCTAGTGTTCTTTCTGTGTGTATTTGTAAAAACACCAGTCATTGGGCCCTCCCTGGTGGTGCAGCGGGTTAAAGCACTGCACTAAGAAGGTTAAGCCGTTTCCACATGAGTTAGATCCCGCCTGCCCCGGAGGTGACCACATGGTGCGACAGACCTCTCCTGACCCACCCGCTGCTCCCCTCAGCAGTGTACTTCGTCAATCTGCCTGCTCTGCTCCCCACTCTGTCCCTGGTAAATCCTCTCACCCTCTGCATCTCTGGCCTGTACCCCAGTTCTGTATGAATAAATAAATAAATCTTAAAAAAAAAAACTCCAGTCATTGGAAAAGGACCCCCTCTAATCCAGTATCTAAATTTAAATTAATTATACCTCTGAAGACCGTATTTCCAAATAAGATCACATTCATAGGTACTGGGGGTTAAGATAAGAACATATTTCAGGGCAGACACTATAGCAAAGTAGTGGTTTTAGCAGACAATACAAAGATCATTGTTCCGTTACTTTCAGCTCTTATTCCAGTGCCTTTATTTTTTTCCTTTGCAAAAGCACTGGGGAAAAATCAAGTAGAAGATTTGTTAGATGTAGGCTTCAACTGCCAGTCTTCCTGTTCACATGCTCTGACACCTATATAGCGGGCCACTTCAGCCTCAGGAGAAGATTCTCTGGCTTTTCCCTAATAAGCTCTGTGATTAATTCTCTATTTTCTCTTCTCTTTGATTAAGATACCCGCAGCCGAAAACAACCCTTTCCTTGTTGGAATGCACTATTGGTACTCCAGTCACAGCCCGCGGACGCAGCACTGCAATATTTGTCGGGAGAGCATTCCTGCCTTATCTAGAAATATTATCATCTGTGAAGGTATCTTTCTGGTTCCCTTAGGAAGTGGCTCCGTGGGTGGAGATAGAGTTGAAAGAGCTCATGTGGCTTTAGTATCACTGACTCACAGGAAGTCACTGAACTCTAGAGCAAGGTTAATCCTGACTTAACAGACTGAGAGGAGATGGAAGAACATGGGCATGAAGGAGAATTTTCACGAATCAAAATGAAGGGTTGCATCTGGGAGGACTAGACAATACAGTCAGTAACAAGGGTTGGAAAAAATGGAAATCATCTCCCTTAGCATCAGTTTCACTCTAGTTTGAGAGCAGAAAGAGTAAAAAGGAACTGGATCATACAGGAAATAGGCCTTTGCCTCTCGATTCTAATTTTCAGAGCAGTTTAGGGAAAGGGATTAGAATCTTTGTTGTTACCAGATTTATACCCATCTCTTCCTCTTTTCACAGTGTGCAAAGTGAAGTCTCACAGATTATGTGCTTTGAGAGCTAGCAAAGATTGCAAGTGGAATACTTTGTCTCTCACCGATGACCTCCTTCTGCCCGCAGATGAAATAGTGAGTGCCAGCAGTACCCTTTCACTGTTGCCCTTTCCCAGGACATACAGGGGAGAAAATCTTTTTCTTTACTGTTTCCAGGCAACCCAAGCTCACAATCCAGCCAATTTATAGACGAATGAAAGCCCACCCACCCCCACCTGTCACTGGTCATTGGCATTGGAGTGAGGAGGGCAGGAACATGAACGTCCTTGGGGTTACCTAATGTCCTCCATAGGGTAGTAAAGAAAGTTATGTCAGCAGGCCCTTCCTTCCCCTGTCACTCTAACTTTTACCTCTTGTCTCTTTTACCTTTCAGAAAACTATGCCTCATCAGTGGGTAGAAGGAAACTTATCTATCAGTTCTCAATGTGCAGTCTGTCATGAGAACTGTGGTAGTTACCAAAGACTTCAAGATTTCCGGTGTCTGTGGTGTAATTCTACGGTAAGAGTCTTCCTATTCCATTAATACTTAGAAAATTGGCATCTAGAAAAGGAGGGTGGATTGCAGCTTTGTGCCTACACAAAGATAGAAATCTTAGAGACTTTTACCCCAAAATAGAGTAGATGGATTCTAAAGTATAGGGCTCAGTATCCTTCCTTTCTAGATTTACTTATGAAGTCTTTGAGGAAAAGATTTAAGATTCTTCTATTCTATGGCTCTTAATTAGCGAGGCCTACCAGCTACTGGGAAAAGTTTAACTTTCTTAGGATAATACAGACAACTGAAGAAAATCAAAGCTTAAAAAACCTCACCATTTCCAAAGAACTTGTAATCTTTGTTAATAATGGTTAATGACATTAGCATATTGCAATTGCTACTATGTATGGAGTGTTTGATATACATGCTCTCATTTAATCCTTACAACAATAGTAAACCAGATTTCATTTTCCTTACTTAACAATGAGGAAATTGGGTTCAGAAAAGTGATTTGCTCAAGGTCATGCAGCCACTAACAGAAGTCTTGATTCATGCATAATTCTGAGAAAAACATGTTTGTTTTAAGATGATATTTTTTATTGTAATCCATTTTATTGAGGTAATATTTGTTTACAATTCTGTGTATGATTCAGAGGGATAGAATCACACCTCCTTGGATGTATGCTACCACACACACCTGCCACCACAGCACCCCAAATTCTCCACCAGAGCTATAACGCTACTATGTCACTGAATCATTTTTTTCAACAGGGGTTGATTTTGCCCCCACAAGAGAGATTTGACAATGTCTAAAGACATTTTTGATTGTTACAATTTAGAGGTAGGCGTGTGCTGCAGGTTTCTAGTGCGTAGAAGCCTGGAATTCTGTTAAACCTCCTACAACATACAGAGTAGCACTAAGAACTATCTGGCCTCAAATATCTACAGTGTTGATGTCAGGAAACCCTGCCATAGATTTTCTAGCTTTTTAGATGCTTCTCTCAAACTGATTAGTCTGGATAAGAAGAAACTAAATGATGAGCTTTTCCTTAGAAGACTCTGTTCCCTCTGCCTCACTCCAGGAGATATCTCCCAGAAAGGTGTTTGTATCCTTATCAGGCACCAGGATTTTTGTGGCTGTCCCCAGGGCATTCTATATCTCTTGGATCTGGTGACCAACAGGACTTATGCTTTTAGGCCTCACAAGACTGCAATCAGTAGAGAAAAAAACTTAATCTGCTATCACTCTCCAGGGCACAACAAGAGGCAACAGTCTGAGGAGCCCAATCTTTCTGTGAAAGAAACCTATTAGCTTATCTTCATAATTTCTGCCTGAGGTGCAAGCCTCTAATTAAACACACATCAAACGACCATCTGTAATCCTTTCCAGAGACCCCAGTGGGTAGTCATCATCACCATACTATTCCTCTGCCCACTCCAGAGCCCCACTATCTCCCAGAAGGGAGCCTTTAAGTGTATCTGGTGCCCCAGTTTTTGCTACTGATCCCCAGGAGATAACCCTTGATTACCTGTTTCTTGTGAACAGTGGGGCTTGAGTTCCTAAGTCTCACAGAACTATAACAATTGAAAGACAGTTTGGGACAGGCTACCACCCCTCCCCCCACCCCACGCAGCACTGAGTATTATCTAAAAATATATATTCTTTCTGTGAAAGAAGCCTATTTTATTGTTTTGGAGTTTTGTTCTGAATGGCAGGCTTTTGGTTTAACACACATCTGGAGCATATTGAGGGGGCTCTCTGGGAATAGAGACTATGGATGTATTCTTTCTATACTCCTTCTGATTCACCCCTGGTTGCTGGTATCTCCTAAAAAGGAGTATCTATACTTGTTTGACACACTGATTTTTGTAAATATTACCCAGGGTACAGCTCTAGGTTGATAGCATTTGTTGGTGACAAGTGGGACTCATGCTTGTGGTCCCATTAAAATATTGCATACTTCACAAAGTTACTACTTAATGGTCTGTTTTCTATCAGCCTTAATCTAGGTGTCAAGATAATCCCATTTAAAATATTGATAGGTCTTGCCATACTCTCAGTTACTGGGAGTCATAAAAATAAAATAAATTGGACGATCATAAAGTTTTGAGAAACAACTAAGAGCTAGGGCCAGGCTGAGTGATCAGATTCATCCCTACACAAGGCTACTCACTCACATCCAGGAGAGGGGGATATTCTATTTAATACATAGAAACCGAAACACAGAGTCAAAAAATTTACTTAATAAATATGGGAATATGCTGTAAATAAAACCTCAGAAAAAGTCTTTAATAAAATACGGATAAGTCATTTACTGGATAAAGAATTCAAAAATAATGGTCATAAGTATGCATACTAAGCTCAGGAAAGAAAGGATGAATACAAACAGAATTTCAACAATGAGACAGAAGGTGCAAAAAATGTAGCTATAGGTTACCCCATTCTTCTACATTTGCCCACTAGCTAAATCTTGGGGCACAGGAAGTTCATATATAAGATGCCCCTTGGTTGATAGACCCTGAAAGCTAGGAAGTGTGCATTCCTAGCAACAATGAGCCATAATAACCAATAGCTGAAAAGGAAAATTGAGGGGTTCAAATCCAGACTAGATGAAGCTGAAGGATGGACATGTGGACTGAAAGATAAAGTAATAGAACAGAGAGATGATAAATAGGATATATATATATATATATATATATGTATATTAAAATTAAAAACGACTTAGTGATGGGAAACCCACGGGGATTACAATTGAGATTAAAAAATGTACAAAATGATGTAAAAATAAGCTATTATATTTTTTTAAAAATTAAAAACACAGAAATTGCCTTGTGGGAACTACAGCACAACAATAACAACCATGTTATAGGCAACCCAGAAGGAAAAGTGAAAGAGGTAAAGAGGCAAAAGACTTAGATGAAGAAACAATGAATGAAAACTTCCCTAACCTGGAGAAGGAAACACACATCCAGGTCCAGGAAGCACAGACAATACCCAACATATTAAACCCAAAGAGCTCCACACCAAGACACAGTTTAATTAAAATATGAAAAATTAATGATAAGGAAGAAATGTTAAAAGTAACAGAAGAAAATGGAACTCCCATAAGGCTATCAGATTTCTCAGAATGCTTTGTAGACTGTCAGGGACTGGGACGATTTATTCCAAGTGTTGAAAGAAAAAAAGCATATATCCAAATATTTACCCAGTAAATTTATTGTTCATAACTGAAGGTGAGATGAAAGCTTTCCAGACAAATAAAGAAATTAATTGTCATGGCTTTATAAGAAATATCAAAGTAACTTCTATAAACTAAAGAAGTATATAACAAGAGGATATAGAAATGTAAAAATATCATAGAACAAATTATATAATAAAGGTAGTAGATTAATTACATTTAAGATAACATGAAAAATTACAAAAGAGCAATATTAATTAAACCTAAAGCAATCAGCTAAGACATACACAAAAGTTGAGGGGAACATGACACTAAAAACAAAGCAGGGGGAGTGTAAAAATATGAGCTGTCAAAATAACTCAAAAATAACTTAATCAATTTAAAACAGAATTTTATATACAAAGACATTATACATAAATTTTGTGGAACCTCAAAACACACAAAAATACACTAGAAACACAAAGGGAAGCATAAATAAATTTTCAAATAACACCAAGGAAAGTTTTCAAACTACAAGGGAATGGAATAAGGAGGTGGAAAGGAAGAGAGGAAGTACAAAAATGGCCAGAAATAATTAACACAATGGAAATATACACTAATAACTAAACATCTTAAGTGTAAATAGACTAAATTCTCTAAGCAAACAGACATACACCACCTGAATGGATTAAAAAACAAGAGTCAACTATTTGCTGCTGTGTGTGAGAGACTCACACTGGGTATTAGAGCACAGAGAGTGGAAGTGAAGGGATGGAATCTGGCAAGATGGTTGGAGTAAGGTGCCAGGCTTCCTCCCTATACTGTCAGTTAGACTGCAGCAGAACGGAGCCAACATGCACACTAGGAGGAGCCATATTTCAGAAAGGGGAGGAAACCCTCAACGTGACCTGTCATTAGAATGATGTCAGGGTAGTGCTACACACCAGATGGTGGGGGGCTGCTTACTGAGCCACCTTCGCTTGTCCTCTCATGGGAATACACCCATATTGGAGACACGTGGCACTGCGCTGGGTAGGTGCGCATGCAGAGTGCACCCAGGATAGAGGGTGCAATGTTGGGCAGTTTCAGGGGAAGGGGTACTTACAAAGGACTACTGGCATGAGCCTGAGGTTCTCAGTATAGAACAACTAGAGCCTGAATTAATGTGAGTAAAGAGGTCACATCACATATATCTTCTCATAGAGGAGGCTACCACTTGAAGCCTAGGCTGAGTTATTCAAAGTACTTGCCACCTCCCACAAAAGACTAAAAACAACAAATGCATATAGGCATAAAGTAGATTTCAAGAACCTGTTAATAATAGGAACAAACACCCCAGGATAAGGAACTGTACTAGAAAATGGAACAACTCCCTGCCTTTGACCACAAATTAACTGCAGTTCATGCCCAGTATTGCATCTAGTGCTCAGAAATAGCCTAGAGTGAAAATGGACATAAAACTGTTAAGAGATAGTAGGCCCTCCCTGGTGGTGCACTAGCTTAGGACGCAACACTGCAAACTAGCCGCAGCCGCTTCAGTGCAAGTTAGATCCCCACCCAGGAGGTGATCCACATGGCATGACAGACCTCTTCTGACCTGCCTGCTGCTTCCTCAGCAGTGTACTTCGTCAATCTGCCTGTTCTGCTCCCCACTCTGTCTGGTGAAGCTGCTCATCACCCCTGCACCTCTGAGTTGTATCCCAGTTCTGTATGAATAAATAAATCTTAAAAAAAAAAAAAAAACTATAAGAGATAGTAACATGAAGGAGCTGGCCTAGAGGAGGAAATCACTGTGAATCCAAACCACACAACCACAGATAGTAGAAAGCTTGACTCTGATGCTCCCTGGAGGTCCTTTTGCCCTTG